CTTATAAATATAGATGTACCTGTATATAAAAGCCTTGGCAGTTGGTGCATATATATATATATATATATATATATCCAGGGATATAAGTAAGTTCCTTTGAATATGCATACATAGATATATGTATACAGTAAATAAGGAAACAAATTCATCCCTTCATTAATTTATACATACATATAAGGATTCGTTCAACTTCAGACATAAGCAGAAATGTCTGATAATGCTAAACCAATGAGATAGAATCAATATGCTCATCAACAATGGCTATTCACTGTCATCACAAGGATAAAATCTGGACCACATCTGACTAAATGTATACTAACAACTCTAGCAAAATTTTACCAAATATGAAGAGAAACATTTTCACATTATGGGACAATATAATTGTCGATTCCCCATCATCAACATTACATTAATGCATTCAATAACTTTAAAGCAACAAATGCAACATGATAAATAGGAAATTTTCAAATAAGACTATACATACATAATGTTAACCATCAACATTTCATAAATTAGATGTCACACACCGGGAAATTCGACTTTTTCCAAAAATTCTCAAATTTTACAGGAATAAAGATCTCAACAAGTAGAGTAAATTTTATACATGTGGCCAAGTCCAATTTGGCGAAGAAGACCCTCAAATTGACTCGCATCCGTCGAAAACCCTAAGGTGGGTGTTCTTCAATTCGGCTTCCTTGGTGTTCCAATGCCCCTACAACTGATTGGGTCTTGGTCTTGGGTCCAAGAGAAGTTGATCAAGGGTGATGGTGAATGGTGATACTCACCGGAATGACGAATCGCCGTTGAGAACCCCCGGGTTCTCCGGTGGAGTTTTACCCGAATTTGACCTTAAAAACCCTTCAATTTGAGCAAATAAGGTAGATGAGAGGTTGTGGAATAAGTTGCAGGTGGTGGAGGGTTGAGAATCACCTGAAAAAATGGTGGAGATTGGTCGAAATTCAGCCGGGTTTAAGTCGGGTTTGTGTGCACGGGATGACGAAAATGGAAGGGGAAAAATCCCCCTTTTTTTTATTCTTCCCTTATTGGTCCTTTTTCCTCCTCCTAAAAATCTGATTTGGTCCTCTTTTAAATTAACTTAACCTTTAACCTACATGTGGGAATTAAATAATTCCCACAATCTATAGTTCACAACTTCAAACGTATGTAACTATACCGTTATAACTCGGACTCGCAAACGGCTTTCGCCTATGCGTTCATGGGTTCGAGATCTATTTAAAAACACTAGTTAAAACTTCAAAAAGTCAACAAAAGATAAAGATTGATTTCAAAAATTCAAACCCGATAACTATTTGATTTAATACCCAAAATTTACGGAATTAAAATTAAGTAATAAAAATAATGTAAACATGAAATACGAACTTAAATTACGAGATACATAATGAATAGTGAAATTTCGGGGACGGGATTTCACACAGGCCCCTTCTCCCATTCATTCACGACTTGAGCTTGAGTCGAGTCCTCAACCGCAGCCATCCATCAACAACCACCATCTCTGACCACAACCCTCGACTTCGTCTTTGTCTCCCTTTTTCTGGCGAATCATGAGTGGCAACCACCATCATCGTCATCTCTCCAAATTGCCACCACTCCATCACTGCCCAATTTAAGGTAATATAATTTCTAAACTCTTAATTTTTAACTCTTTTGTTAATTTTTTGGATTTAGGGATTTAGGGTTTATGTAATCTCTGATTCTCTCTAATTAATTTTCTAGATTTGGGAGTTAGGGTTTTCTGCAATCGCTCACTCTATTGAGTAGTTCTTAATACCCCAAACCCAGTTCATAAATTTGCCTTCATAGGAATTGGGAATTTGGGATTTAGGGATTAGGATTCAAATGTTTATACCATACCTATTGGGCATTTCATATTGTTTGAAATTTGAATTGGGAATTTATTATTTATGTATTGTTTAAATTTGCAGACTTGCTTGAATCTACAAGCCTTGTGTTGAACCTAATGGGCATTTCAGCAACCTGTGCAATCTTTGCGTTGAATCTTCAAACTTGGAAGGAAAATTGAGTATTTTATTGATAGTGGAAACTGCTTGCAAGTTTTGTAATTTAGAGACTATTTACAAGGTTCAAAGTTCTGTAATTGTTAAATTGTTCTTAAAAATAAAAAATAAAAAGGACCCATGCACCTGCCCTGAACCGGCCCGTTTTTAGCTGGCCGGGTTAGGTCCGGTTCCAATGTTCAAATTTCTTATACCCGGCCCGTTCCGTTTTAAAACATGTCCAGTCCAATCCTTCCAAATTTAGGCCTGGCCCTATATTTAGTCACGTCTCAGAATTCTTATCGATAGAACACGTAACTTACATAAAACACATTTCCCAAAGACATTCTAGAATGATTTGAGACCCATTGACCAAAAGTCAACCGTCGATCAAAGATCGACGGTAAGGTCCACAACCCTATGTAACTCGATCCAGAAGATCTGCATCACAGATTTTCAATTTGTAACTTCCAAAGATCTACATTATGCTTTTAAAACATCATACTAAAGTTTCATTACGATCCAACGGTCGGATCTCTGCCAATTGTAAATTCAAGTGGCGGTCAACATTTTATTTTACGAACTTAGGAATCCAATTTGGGAAGATCCGTACATCAGATTTGTGATCCGTCAGTTCCTATTTTTCTCAAATATTATTAATAATAACCTACTAAAGTTTGGTGATGATTCAATAGTTGGATCGTCGATTCAAAAAAGGATCAAGTGGCAGACCTTAGCGAAATTGTACCCAAACAATGGAATTTCGTTAATCAGACTTCACTTATGCAATTGGAGTATCAGACTTAGCTTAGGAATGTCATGTGGGGTCTCGGCTCACGCGCCGCTGCCCACGGCGGTCGGCCGTCCCGACTTGCAGAAAAAAGCAACTATTTCTAAAAATTCCCAAATTTTGACATAAATGAAGATCTCAATGAGTAAAGCAAGTTTCATACATGTGGACAAGTCCAATTTGACTGGAAAAAACCTCAAATCGCCACGTACCCGTTGGAAACCCTAGAAATGGGTGGTAGTGGTTGACGGAGTTAGTGAAATTGTACCCAAACAATGGAATTTCGCTAATTAGACTTCACTTATGCAATTAGAGTATCAGACTTAGCTTAGGAAGGTCATGTGGGGTCTCGGCCCACGTGCCGCTGAACACGATGGTCAGCCGCCCTGACTCTCCGAAAAAATCAACTATTTCTAAAAATTCTCAAATTTCACGAAAATGAAGATCTCAATGAGAAGAGTAAGTTTCATACCTGCAGCCAAGTCCAATTTGACCGGAAAAAGCCTCAAATCGCCACGAACCCTTCAGAAACCCTAGAAATGGGTGGTTTTGATTCGACTTTAAACAAGCTTCGATGCCCCAACCAATGCATGGGCTTTGTTTCTGAGGTTAAGGAAAGTCTATTGGTGGTGGTGGTTGACAGAGTTAGCTTCACGATCGTCGGATTTCCGTCGTGGCACCCCCAGAACCCACGAATTCCGTTCTTCATGAAATTAAGGTTAAATCTAGTGAAATTTGATTGGAAATGGAAGATGGGAGATCATGGAATGTTTTTCAGGTGGTGGGTGGCGGCGATTTGATGCGAAAAACTGACGAAAATCACGTCAGAATAGCGCAGAATGGGTATGGTCGATGGGGAGGAACAAGGTCAAGGGTGATCTGATGCTCCTCTACTATCTCTTTCACCTTTCTCTCCTTTATATTTCATCTCTACCGCCCATTTTTTCTTCCCTTTAATCTGGGCCACACACCTAGCTTTCCAAATTTTGCTCCAAAAATCTGGAGCATTCTAGAAAATATTTAAATGACTATTTTGTCCCTATTTTTACTCGCCCATAACTTTTGTTATAACTCCAAATTACGTTCCGTTTACGCCCATGCATTCGTAGCCACGAGTACTACGAGGATACGCTAAGAAAATGGATCTTACGTGACTCGACAAGGTAGTCAACAAAAGTCAATGCATTTGCCTCGAAGGGCATTTTCAAAATTTCACATTTTAAAATTATAAAAACCATAGTTTTCGGGGACAGGTTGTTACACAAAGGACTAATAAATTTTTTTAAAAAATAGAGCCAAAATTTAACATGACAGACAACATTAGAAATCTCTTGAAAATAAGTTGGCATGAAAAAGAGTCAACATTTTTTTATTGCAATATCAATCCACCGGACTAATTTTGAAATAACATGTTTAATTCATTCAAAAGAAGGGGAAAAAATTTAGTTATTTAAAAAAATTGTACAGTAAATGACAAAAAAACTACCTCAATTATTGGTGTCACGACACTTTCATACCTCATCTTTTAAAATTGACAATGTCATATCTTATCTTACGAATTTATGCTAATGTTATACCTTCCGTTGCTTGGTCGTGAATCACCCACCCACCCACCCACCCACCCAACCTGCAAAAGAAGAAGAAGAAGAGAGAGAAGGACAAAAAAAAAAAAAAAAAGGAAACCCAGTTGCAGGAAGGGTGGGTGTGAAGGTGGGGAGGTTGGGTGCGGGAAGAAGAGGGGTTGGGGGAGGGTGGAAGTGGGGAAGACAAATTGGTTTTTTTTCTTTTTTTTTTTCTAGGTTGCAGTTGTAGGAAGGGGGAGAAGCTGAAAATAGGGAGAAGAGAGAGAATGGGGGAAGGGGACGAACTGAGTGTTGGTTTTTTTTTTTCTATTTTTTTTAACTTTTCTTTATTATTTTAATATATAAAAAATATTAATTTTTTTTTTAGTTTTTAATAATTTTTTAATAGAAAATAGGCCCCGGATCAAGCCACGTCAGCATTTAACTAAGAAATTCACGCCAAGTTAACGGAAGGTATAACATTGGCACAAATTTGTAAGATGAGGTATGACATTGTCAATTTTAAAAGATGAGGTATGAAAATGTCGTGACACCAATAATTGATGTAGTTTTTTGTAATTTACCCAAAATTGTATGAAACAGTATGAAAAGAAACTAACAACAACAAAAAAATGCAAGGAAAGGGAACAAAACTCACAAAACCAAGAAAACACAGAAGTCGGAGAAAACACGGGAGTCCAAACTAAAATGAAAGTCGAGGGAGAGAAGAAAATAAGGGACGAAAGCTAAAAAAGCAAACCCCATTAGATCACCGACACGTGACAAACACTCAACCTACAGAACGAAACAGTAGTTTCGAAGGCTGGGAAACACGTGGCAGCCAAGATAATAGAGGGGTAAAAGTGCCCATTCACTACACATTCAGTAGAAGGGCTAAAAATTGCTCAGCAACTGATGGGCAAAACCGGGCGTGGCAGACATGACAGCACGGGAATATTGAGAAAAAGCTTTGATAACTGCATGAAAATAGAGAAAATGTGTTAAGCAAACTAAAGAAATATCTAACATCTTGTAACAAAGAGTTTTAACAATATAGATAAAAGATTTTATATTTACCAAAGTAAACTATATATTTTGTGACTTGGATTTATATACAATGTAATAACCAATAAAAGTATACACGTAATCAAAATTTTGTAAAAGGAATTATTAAGGACAATGAAATTAAGAATTTTCATGTAAATTTTGCAAGACATCTTTAAATACAATATTTATAGTTTAGTTTTTAAGATTGTTTTCTGTTGTTCTATTAAATTTTTTAAACTTTCTCTTGATGACTCTTGACAATGCAACATATAATTGACCATGTGTGAAAACAGGTTCTAGAATATATAGACCAACTTGTTTGAGAGATTGTCCTTGGCTTTTGTTTATTGTCATTGCGTAACATGGTCTAACTGGAAATTGACGTCTTTTAAAAATGAATGGCTACTTGTTTTCTGTAGCTGTAAGAGTAATTCTTGGGATGAAAACTTTGTGATCAATATTTGTTCCAACAAGAATTTTAGCTTCTATAATTCTATTAAACAATTGAGTAACAACTAATCTAGTTCCATTACACAAACCCAAAAATTGATTTAAATTTCGTAACAACATAATGGGCATTCCGATTTTTAAAACCAAATTATGTGTAGGTAAACCGTTGAACTCAAGTTTGTCTAAAAATTTAATGGGATACATTAGTTCAAGATTTTCAACATTTGCATTTGAAGAACATAAAGAATCATAACTCAAAAATGTATATTATTCTCTAGGCAATAAATCAATTATATAATTATTCACTTTTGTAACAGTTGCATTCCGAGGTGTTATAATAGATCTTTCTCTTAAATATGCTAAATTGTTAAAAGAGTTATCAAAATTGGGGTAAGTTGCAGAAAAAATTGAATGTATAGAAGTTGTAGAACAATTAACTATGAAATCTTCAGGTATCTCAATTAAAGATGTATCTCTATCATTTGTATAATTTGTATTATTTGTGTTGTTAATCTATCCATTACCTATATTTAAAATCCAATTTGCAAAAGAACTTATTTTATCTTTTTCTTCCATGCTTAATCTGTTTTTTTTTTACAATCTCATATTTTCTTTCAAACAAAATTTTTTGAAATGGAGCCATAAATAAGAATTATTTATGGAAGCATTTATTATATCTTCTCTGGTTCCACCAAAAAAAAGTTTTTCTAGTACCTTTATGTCCATAAACAAAATATAGACCTCTTTTCTTTTGTTTTTGTTTTTTTTGTTTTTGTTTTTTTTTTTGTATTTACAACATTTATAATAGAATTATAAACTTGTTTTTGATATTCATTAAGCTGTGATTTTAAAACATTGTGTTTTTTGTTAAGTTCTTCACAATCATAATTTAATTCTTCTCTCACAAGCCTTTTTTTTATTTCCAACATTTTATCTGTATCTAGCATGAGTAGGTGATAATTTTTTAAAGAGGTAGATGCATTATTAAAAAGTAATTCTAATTCAAATAACATAGAATTTTTCAATTCATTTTCTAGCACAATCATATTTGGAATTCTAAAAGTCTGACACAATTGTATAAAATGCCATCATACATATTTTGTCAGTGATTATCAAAAAGAATTTGAGGACTGGCTACATCACAAAATAAAATTATTGTGACAAACAATTGTCTCAATTGAGCAGATGATGAATTCACAACATTTGACAAAGCTTCAATTCATTCTTTATCATCACCTAATAGTCCTAATGATTTACATGCAGAATGATACGAATACAACACCATCAATGGTTTTCAAATCATCAAAACTCATTGCACCTTTTTTTAAATTTAAAAGCATTCTTAAATAATATAATTCTCTAGATGTTGGATGTACATATGCTATTCTACCAATCGATCCCTTATGTTTTCTCAATTTCCAAGTTTTGTTTCATGTATCATAGAAAATTTTTGTAGGAATTTGTGGATAAGTCAGTTCACGTGCTTCATTGAAAATTTTGTTTGTCCCGAACCAACTTGTTAACATAGTGTGTTCAAAAGCCTTTTGATTAATGATTAATTGCAATGGTTGATCACCGCTAAATACAATATTTTGTTCTAATTAGGGGTGGGCGCGGTTCGGTTTGGTGCGGTTTTGAGTAAAACCAAAATCAAAACCGCAAGTTTTTGTGGTTTGGTTCGGTGCGGTTTTGAGACTAAAATTGAAATGAAACCAAACCATTTGGTTCAATTCGGTTTGGTTTTAAATGGTGTTGGTTTGGTCTCATTGTTTGAAAAAACTATTAAGGTTACCTAGTTGTATCTCATTTCATTTTCCCTTGATATACACTTCAATTCTCTTCTATGAGCAACATTACTGTTTGTTTTTCATTTTGCATATCTTCTATGAGCAACATTTATAACGTTTGCACATCCTGGCTGTGCTGCCATGTACCAAAAATTATGTGTAGCTTTTTGTACTTCGTGTCATCTGATAAATTTTCTTATTCTTTTCTTTGCTTTTCAAGACACACACTTGTGGGAATTTGAACATTCAATGGGAGCTTAGATTAATCACAAGCATGTGTGTCCCGCGTTGTAAGAGTCACAACTAATTTTTGACTAGATCTCCAAGGTGAACAAACAAATGGTTTGAATTGAAAGCTACAGCAGTTGGTCCTCCCATGGCAACCCATCTCTCATTCAATATCTCCTTAATCAAGGGGGCATATTCAATTCGTGTAGGTATGTGTATACAGTTTACTGGGCGGAAACCTATCTACCCATTATTCCCATGTCACCAATATGCAAATATCATATATGCTTTCAACTCAAATCCATGTAAGTGCAATTATTTTTAGGATTTTATGGGAACACCAATCAACAACATTCTGACATTCTAATGTTTATGAACGAAGAAAAATCGAAGACCAACCAACAAAAAACCAAATCCCCTTTTAATTCAAAACCCAACCCTAAATTAATCTCAAATGTACGAGTAAATTTAACTAAAACAAGTGATAAATCATAGTTCTTATCATATTAGCACTCTGAACTCTAGAGGCTAGGAGCTAGAATGAAGTGGAGGCCGGAGGGAAGACCAAGAGAAAGGGAGAGTCTGGAGAGTGGAGACCGAGAGAGAGAGTTAGATGAATAAAGAAAGAGTACAGACTAGAAGAAAGAAAAGAAAGAAATTATGTGGCTGTGTTATGATGTGGTTGAGTCCATACTAAATGTATGAACTCAATGAAATAACCAATTAGAATTTAACATTTAATAAAGTTATGCGGTTTTGGTTTCGGTTTGGTTTTGGATGGCCGGAACCGAAACCAAACTTTTTTTCCTTCATTCAGTTTGGTTTCAAACCGAAACCATTTTGAAACTGTAAAACCAAACCGTTCGGTACGGTTCGATTTGGTTTTCGGGTTCAAGTGCCCACCCCTAGTTCTAATGGTAAATGAACAAGCAATTGTTCAACTGAAGGTTGTCTATGATGTATAGAATATTGAAATAATCTCCAAACAGCCTCATAAGGCGATATGTATCTACAATTAAGATATGCTAATATCTCAATATCTGAATTTTCCTGTAGAACTAATCGCGCTCTATCGGAATAAGCATTGATCGACAGCATGATTCAATAGTTATATGTGCATTGTATTTTAATAGCAACTCTGTACTGTAAGGAACAACAAAACTATATTGTAAGGAACAACAAAACTATTATCAACTTTTATTCCATTTTTAATCACAAATTTGTCATCATCTTCACGACGTCTGTACACCAAAAAACCATTTGCCTAAAAAATTGTTTCGCTTTTGTATGGTTTAGGAAAATGTTTAGAGCATTTATTTTCTCACTTGCAAGGAGATTTTGGATTATTGTCACCACAGGGACCATGAACCATAAATTGATTAATTAACTATTTCCTATAGTTGGAGATTAACAGTTTTGTCTGGCAATTCAGCTGAAATAATAGAGTCTATATCTAATGAAGAAAAGCATTTCATGTTTGTTTTAAGCCATATTAACATATGGAAATGAGGTAAACCTCTTTTTTGAAATTCAATTGTACAAACATCTGCTTGTGAGAAAGGACAAATAAAAAACAAACAAAAGAAAAAAAAGTCAATTTCACAACAATAATAAAACCCCAAAAACAAATTTGACATAAATGGAAGAATAAGTTTTGAAAACTTACGTCCTTCCCAAAAGGCTTTCCAGATTTGATAAAATCATGTGATGAAGTTTCATTTTAAACACTCTAAAAATTATATCAGGTCTATCTTCAGGTTTAAATCCAGGTTTGTTTTCAAATTTTCTTGTTATTTCTAACCATTTATGTTAAGAGTTGTTAAGTTAAGTTTAATTAAATTTTAAATTAAATAAAAGCTGACTGGCCATGCAGAGACCAAGTCATGCACAATTCCTAGTAAGTAGGAGACGTGGTTGAGCATGTTCACCACAGTTAGGATTGCTTCCGTTGTTTAAGGTTAGACTCTCCACGAAATCAGCATAAGATCGTGAGAGAGTTGCTGTCATTTATTTTCGGTATTCTTCCCTTTAAAACTGTAATCTTCATATTGATAATTGAATGAGAAGAACAGTTAGTTTATTCAGTGAGTTCTTATAAAGATAACTAGGGTTCTTGAGTTCTGGGATTTTTATTAAAACCAACAATTTAACATTACAGGTAAATGTTATGAACAAATTAGGATGTCCATATTCTCTACAAATAACCATAGCATCTTGATAATTATTGATCATATATCTAGGATTTTCTGTATACGAAGCGGGTAACACAATTTTATGTCCTAAATTATTTGTATCATTATCACCTTTTGAGAATGCATCATATATTCCTTTATAAACTTTACTTCTCAAATTCTTTTGATTTTGTCTAATGTAATCTAATATATCTTCTTCAAGTGTTGCAAAAAAATTCACCAAATATTATTGAAAAAGTCTACCTCTTCTTAACAATGCAGGTAATGGTAGTTCTCATTCTTGCATTTGATAAGCAATAAAAGCTCTCATGGGCGCTCTCTGTCTCTTAGTTTTTTTACCTTTATAATTTTTGCTCCATTTTAAATCTGATCTATAACCATCTTCACCGAATGGAAAAAGAATAGGATACTGTAGAAACATAAATTTAGAATTCAATTTTGTGACACGTTTTAATTCTTCACTTTTAGACTCTATAATAATATCTTTATTGGAATCAAAGAGTACTATATCTCCAACCATCAAACCACCTATTTTATCACTTGTAGGTTGGTTCCTCATATTGTTTTCCACCATTTAGTTGTCTTCCTAACAATGTCATTTTCAAAGAGCAAAGGCCATCATTTTCAAATTTATCTCTCGTTGTTCGAAATTTTTTTACCAATTCATTTGATTCATCAAACATTCTAATCAAGCCTTCTACAATTGTTGGATCAAGTCTTTCATTCCTTCAATCAGAATTAAAAGATCTAAGACGATTTTCCACCTCATTATATGTATCATAGACATACAATTGAGCAAATTTTGGTGACTCATTATTAACAGACAAAAGAAATCCCATTAAATGACAAACTTAACTGCTAATTTTAAAAATGTAAGGACCTGAACCATTGTTAATTGAGTTATTAACTTTGGCTCCTATTGAAATAAATGAAAACATAAAGTTGTAGGCTCTAATATTTTCTCGAAATGATGAACATTTAAGGCCTTTAGTTGAATCAAGCAAGTAATCTAAAAAAGCTGGCGGCGATTTTGGATTTGGAAACTTTATTTTTCCTTGTTGGCAGCAAAGAGTAAAAATAGGCTGATCATTTTTACACTTTTGTTTTAGAGACTCTTCTAACAAAAAATGAGCACTACAATAAATGCATCTATAACTTTATGTTTATATTCAGTAAAAACATTGTCTTGACCATTGACAAAATCTTTTTGTTGCTCTAGAGCATCAGTTGTTAAAGCATTTATAGGTCTTTTTGATATGATGGAAAATAATTTTTATAAAACTTTCAACCAAATCACTGCAAACCATATTAAAAAGAGGAAAAAAAGAGGCAAAAAGAGGTGTCAACAAACATATAACACAAATTTCAAACACAAACACAACATAGATACATAAATGCTTTAAAAAATCAATTATATATTTCCAGAAACTTGAGAAAAATATAAAACAACCATGAGACACACAAAAACTTAAAACTGAAGAATTCAAATGCCTAAATTACTTACTTTAAGAGCTGAAACTTCAAAAACGCAGCAGCGTCAATCCTTGGAAAAAGTCAACCAATTTTTTATTACACATCAAAAAATAAAATTCTATTCAATAAACAGAATCTTAATAAACAAAATAGAAAACAGAGAATCAATATTATTTAAAATGACTTAAATAATTAATGTAGTTGAAAACCACAAATTACAAATTTAAAGCAAAGTACAACCCATACAATTTTTTATGCGTTTGCTGTCACGCTTTGAATATCGTCACCTTTTTTTTTTCTTTTTGTTTAAAGCTTGCTAAGATGGAATTTAAAAAAAACCTGCAATTGTCATCCAAATATTTATACATTACAACCAAACAAAAAAAAAAACACACCAAAAGTTAACAATTTAAAAATTCAAATTACGCACCTTTAGTAAGCAGACGTATCCAACACAAAAACGGCCAACATCGCAAAACACACTAGTGTAAAACACTGAAAAAAAATTAAATTTCATGAATATAATTCTAATTAACAAAATAGAAAACAGAGAACTGCAACACAAATTTTTAACATCGTAAGAAAACAAATAATTATAGTTGAGTTTCTAAACGAAGACCAAAACAGCAACAAACAAAGAATAATATCGATCAACAATAACCAATTCACAAACAGAAGAATAAACAGTCAAGCTGAATCCACTTACCATAAAATGCAAATACCAATATTATCAACAATATTGACACTCAGTGACCAAAAAAATGCACCCAACAACCAAACATTTACAAATAACACATCTCGTTGACCAAACACATATATTAAGCCTCAAATTACAAATAAAAATGTGAGAAAACAAAAGACAATAAATTGTTTTGAAAGAATATATGAATTTCCCAAAAATAGATGCATGTGTTTACGTGCATCTGTCAATCTCAACAAACATTGTTCACCTAAAATTATAATCTGAATGTAGCTCAATCCTATTATCTAATTGAGAAATAGGAACATAGATAAAGTACAGAATACATTAAATTCATTGATAAAACCAAGCCCATTTTTCATGCAGAACATAGAGTTGAAATTATAGTTTGAATCTAGCTGAAGCTTGCAATGCAATTAAAACATTTCTAAAAGAAGTATCTCATGTATAATAGAGGCTCATGCCAATCACAATCTCACACAAAATAATTATACAGTTGACCAAGAAAAAAAAGAAATATAATATTTCATACAATATATGCAGAGAATACTTACAAATATAGAGAATGGCCAATCAATTTGATAGATGAAAGCAACTTAGTGCAGAAGAATTGGAATCCAAATTCAAACGTAGCTTAAATTTTTTATTCTGCTAATATTAATCTGCAGACAATTCCAAATAGAAAAAGATAAAATCTCCACAAAACCATACAAAAAAGCTGTAACATCAGTCAAGCCACTCATCATAACAACAAAATGAAGCCACTCATTTTAACAACAAAAAGAAAATTGAGGTCCCATGAATATGACTGCGAAATTTATGTACTTTAGAATAATTCACTTCAACTGCAAAGACAGAGAACTGATAAAAAAATTTAAAAAATAGACCCAAAATTTTAACATGACAGGCAACATTATAAATCTCTTAAAAATAAGCCGGTATGAAGAAGAGTCAACATTTTTTTTATTGCAATATCAATCCACCTTACTAATTTTGAAATAACATGTTTAATTAATTCAAAAGAAGGGGGAAAAACGATTTTTAGTTAGTTTATATAATTTTTTTATACAGAGCTTTAAAACATCTTGGTTAATTCATTCAAAAGTAGAGAAAAAAAGGGGAGTTTCTAGTAAAATATCCTGTTTTGGTTCAATACTTTTGGCCACATGGACAAAAGTTAAATTGGTCTTCAAATGGCATGCTTCATTGAATAAAAAGTACAAAAAAAATCCGCTTTTTAGTTCGTTAACATAATTTTCCACATGAAGTTTGAAAATGCTATGTTCCATTCCTTTAAAAGCAACCAAAAAGGGGATTTTTCCGATCCTATCCTAGTTTAATGGTTCAGATAACAGGGACAAAAATTACATTCATTTTCAATTGGTTTCTCTTTACATAGCTACAAACCAAAAAATTTTCAATCAGTTTCTCAAATAATTTATAAACATATTTGACTAAGGAGTTAAAGGCTACAAAACAGAGTAAAAACCAACGGAAAAAAAAAAAAAAAAAGGCAAACAACCGTGAAACACACACCTTAAGCACCTGGAACCGCATATAAAAAGAACCAAATCTTATATCTACACCCAAAATCGAAACACACAAACACAACAGCAAAAACGAAACATCGCTATATTTTTTTTTTTATTGAAAATAGATTCGCCAAACGAAAAACAACCCAAAAAAATTCAAAAGTTACAGTGGTATTCAACGAAAAATTGAAGAGAAGGAACATAAATTACATACCTTAATTGGAAAACGACCTGCAAACACGCAGCAGCAAAAACCGTAAAATTGCAGCACCAATCTTTCCTGAAATAAACAACGCAATCAGATCAAACAGCCACATGCAAAAAACCCCAAAATAAGAAATCACTCAACGCAAAAGACCAAGACTGGAATCTAAAAAAATGAACTTGAAAATTTTCTTGATAACCAAACAAAAAGTGTAAAAAAAAAAAAAAAACAAACAAACAAACAGATGAAGAAACACACCTAAAACGACGCCATTTTTTTACGAAAGATGGCAGAAACAAATAGAACAACCAGATTTCTAAGCGATGAGATCGGATTTAAGAGAGAAAGATGGAAAGAAAGAAGCAGAAAAAACGATGGCAATTGCAAACCCTTGCAGTGACTTCGGTGTGAAGAACGACCAAGACACAACCACGATGGCCAACACGTGCACACCGCAGACCAAATCAGACCCAAAAAAATTGCTCAGCAACAGAGGGGCAAAACCGGACGCGCACTGGTAATGAACAGTATGAGTCCGCTGAGTTTTAGTAAAGGAATAATATGAGGTTTTAAAACTTGACAGTTTTAACAAAAATCTCACAGTATTGTTCATATTAACGAAAAATCATATTTTTGCACTAAAAAGTTAAACCTGGTACTATTCATTTTATCTTTTATTTTGTCTTTATCATTAAAACTCAAAGTTTTCAAGCTTTTTTCATTAGTTTTCTTTTAAAACTTTCCCGGGATGAAATTTGCATGGCTTTCAGTTTTCACGTGAGGGATTTCAAAGGAATGGGCTTCATTTTTTAGGCTTCTCATTACTAGCAGGAGTCCCGCGGCCGTTAGCACCCTTTTTAGAACTCGTTGAGCTAATTTTTCATTGTTTTCGTGCATTAAGCACATGAATACGTTTATTTGCTATTATGATGGCCGTTCATAGTTCACTAAAGATTTGAAGACCATGTCAAAAAGAAGCAAAAGACATTAAGTGTTCACCAATAAATACGTAATATATGATGTGGCAGCTGAGTCATTCGACTTCTTACTTTTTAGCTGTATTTTTTGACACAAAACAAAAAAGGAGTCAAATATATTTAATTTAATTTTTTTAATGCATGGATCTCATTGACAACCAATAAAATAAATATTAAAATCAATTTTAATTATTTTCTAATAGTTAATGTAGATATGGGCCCTCAATATAATAATAAATAAATATTTGACAAACCAATCCGAAAAGAATAAGATTTAACATTTGTATTCAATTGGTCATATTTGTCATCAAATAAAATTTTGACATATTATATTTAACATCTTTTTTGAAGATACTTTAAATGGGTTCACTTGGACTATGCTATATATGAATGATCTTTTATTTTTAAGATCTTTTTTATTTTTTTTTATAGAAGATCCTGGTCCTTGAGACTATTTATTGAATATTCTCTTGCTCTTTCAAACCCAAAACACATGCTAGTACATTATGTGTCACTATATAAGTGAACAATATGATTGATATGTCTTTTTTCAAGGGACAAGGATTGTCTACCCTCCCTTTCCGGTGCCCTCCTCGTGTCCTCCTGTTTTATGTGATCACGGTTAAGCCACGTCAACATTTTATATTATTTTTTTTATAAATATAATAAGACAAAAATGAATAGTAATATAAAATGTTGACGTGGTTTAACCGTGACCACATAAACAAGAGAACATAAAAAGAACACCAGAAATGGAGGGGCAGACAATCTTTGTCATTTTTCAAGACCTATGCTTTAAGTGGTTTTACTGGCCCACTTCCAACCAATCCTAGATTTCGGGCCTCCATATAATATTACCCTTCAAAATACTAGAATTAACTAGTTGTCTTGGGCGGTGTGGTCAGTGGTACGGAGTGAATTCTCTCCTTTCTTTTTTTTCCTTTTCCTTCTCTACTCTCTTATTTGAACTGTCACGATTAAGCCACGTTAACTTCTAATATTAATTTTTTAAACAGAAAGAGAAAGATAAAATAAATAATGTCACCTTAACTTCTTATATTAATTTTTTATAAAAAGAAAAAGACAAAATAAAGAATATGAGTTGAGGGAGAAGATCCTAGTCCCAGTGGTAGCGCCGGTAAGTTGTAAGAAATCCAATGTCGCCAATATGGTGGTGGAACTTAAAGTCGACTAGTCTTGAATCTCCATGCAGTTTCAGCGGAGTTTCCTGTTAATTCATTTAGGAGCAATGGACCAAGTGATCAAGTTCTGAATTAGGGTTTAGGGAGTAACGCAGAAATTTCCTGTGGATTCCGTTTTTGAGTGTTGGATCAAAGCATGTGCATTGTGCAGGTGCTTCTCCGACGACAATCCTACTGCCACCAATTTCTTATCCACCTCTTCTTCTGTCTCTGCCAGTCTGCAACCTTTTCTCTCCTCGGAAAAAATGGCGGGAACCATGTTAAGTCCAGGACCGCAACCTCTGCCAGCCATGGCGCGCAGCCAGTCGCTGTGCTTTCAACAATCCCAATCTCTCCAGGAATCACGTTGGAGGTTCAGGTCCTTCCCGTACACATCAGGTTCGTTTTTATATCATATTTTAGTCCTAGATCAAGGAGAACATGAGCCTGATAGAAAATACAACCGTGGTCAAAGACATTCTCATTCATTTCAAATATAGAAGGAATTTTGAATTATATTTCGCTTTTGTTTATATAGTAATTATGCTGCTTAAGCCAAGTTTGGAATCTGATCTTAACTGTTCATTGCCCTGCCTTTAGTATGCGTGCTCTTTTTGGTTCAATTGATGAGCTGTAGAGAAAAGAGGAGAGACCTTCGTGTGGCGATCATTGTTGGACGAAATATGATAGGATCTCGAGTAGCGAGATATGTGGTGCATTTTACAAAAGAACTAGTGAATTTTACCTAATACGGCCACGTTTGTGCCTAAGGTTGGATTGTATTTGACAAGTCGCTAGATTGAAGGTATGTTGAAGCAAGAAGTGGATTTCAAATTTTGTCCAAGTTGAGAGTACAAGATGGATTAGTTCTGAAGAAAACTTATCCTTTACAATCCTACCAGTTTGTTGGGATTGGAAAGGATAAGTATCATTCACGACTAATTCATTTAATTCCTTTAGCTTGGACAGAATTTGGAAGTTAGCGTTCATTTCTGCAGTGTTACATTACCGGTTGACCTTAAGCCCTTGTTTAACTGCCTTGGTTATGGACGACTGTTATGCTGTTCAAATATGACATACCTATTTAGGATTAAGTGTTCAGTTAGAAATTCACAATAGGCTGCAGTATGCTAAGCAGATGACCCCTAGAGTGATCATTTTTGGTACTTAGAGTTTGATATTATACTTTATGAAGGAGAGATTGGAGAAGGTTATCATATAATTAGAGTGCGATGTTGAGACAGCTTTTTGGCGGCACTTGGAAGGATAGAATAAGACATGGGATTTTCTTAACAATCAGGAAATATTTCCAATTGAGATGGTTTTGTCATAGACAGTTAGGGATGCTCCGGTAAGTAAAGAGTGATCTGATACAGGGGAACGCCTAAAATAACATGGGAAGGGTTGTGAAAATGAATATGATCACAACAATTGACGAAAAGCATAGCCTAAGATAGGACTGATGGAGGAAAAGGTTCAATGTAGCCAACGCCAACTGGTTAGCATTAAGGCTGAATTGAGCTGCGTTTGGCATGTGTACTTGAAAAAAGAGAACTTCTGAGAAAACTTGTATAGGATTTTTAGTCACTGTTTGGTTGTGCAGGGTTAGATAGTTTGAACACGGAGGAGAACCCCAGCAGGTTGCCTTTGCTCGGAAAAGGTTCCGGTGATGACAACAGCACCTATTACAAGGAACACAACCAGACAACGGTAATGTTAAAAACTCATAATCTTGATGAAATAATTTTGTTTTGTACATATCTTGCCATAATTTTGTAATTAACTGCACACACCTATGATTTCAGGGATCAGATGATTACAACCCCAGTGAGTCGCCTCAACCTAGTGATAGCCAACATGCTTACACTGACTATGACGAGCGTGGCAATGTGGCAATGGTAGTGGCAAAATCTCATAACCGTATCTAGACCTTCTTTTTCATGTTTTCCTGCACATTGAAATATTTTCCTGCACATTCTAATCCAAGCAAATCTCCTTTACCTTGCATTAGTCCTCATGCTGATACCGACCATGACAAGCCAGACAATGTGGCAGGGATAGTTGAAAATCTTATAACCATAATTGAACCAATTTTTTTATTGACATATTGTCTTGCAAGATCTGTATAGTTTTAGTTGAACTCATTGACAATTTCAGGGCTCTGATGATTCCAACCGCAGTGGGTCACTTTTACCTAGTGTTAGTTCACATGCTAATACGAACTATGGGGAGCAGGGCAATGTCGCAAATGTAGAGGTAAAAACTCATAACCATAACCATGACTAGGCCGTCTTCAATCTTCATATTGTTGTGCACATTGAACTTATTTTCATGTGGCAGGGATAGTTGAAAATCTTATAACCATAATTGAACCAATTTTTTTTATTGACATATTGTCTTGCAAGATCTATATAGTTTTGGTTGAACTCATTGACAATTTCAGGGCTCTGATGATTCCAACCGCAGTGAGTCGTTTTTACGTATCGTTAGTCCACAGGCTAACACGGACTTTGGCGAACCAGGCAATCAAACGACGACAATGGTAAAAACTCAAACTATAATTAATCATTTTTTCTCACTAATCCTGTGAGATAATTGGTTTTATCTTTTATTAAGCGTACAAATAGTTGAAGGGCTTCTCACAGATCATATTTGCAGGGCCCTTCTATTCCAATCCTTGTGCTTGATGTTGATTATGAAAATGACTTTAACCACCCACGTCATGGAACAAGAGTAATGCTCAAAACTCACTACCATATTAAACCAGTGTCGTTTAATCTTTTGGGAGGTTTATTTGGTGATTTAATAACTTACTATAACTTCCTTGTAGGTTACCATATTACAGTGGATCTTTATGCTTTTTGCTCTCAGCCTAGAAATGTTGTCATCCTGTTTTGATCAGTTATCCTCCCCAAATAAGTCTCATTATGCACTGGTTAGTTTGCTGTTAGCCATTGCAGCTGTGCTTACTTGCATCTTGGAGCTCATTCACAATGGTATAAAGGAAGGAGTTGAATCTACCAACGGCATGGTTTTCGGTACTTTGCCTGATATCTTTGGATTGGGTCTTTCCGTTCTCCAATGCCTTTGCTCAGCAGAGCAGTATTATTTCCTCCATAGGCATAAAAATAATCCTATGAAACTATCCCCTGTGCCTCTCTTCTTTTTCTGCTGTTTGGTGGTTTTGAAATTGAAAATGAACTAGAGCTACACAGTCATCCGAAATGCAAACCTGGTGACAGTAGACAATATGGCACGCTGATTGTGTGCCCGTCTATTTATTCATTTGTCACACCATTTATATATTAGAAGACAATTGCCAATGATTAGATTTCGATCTTGCATATGAACTTGTAACCATGGTCTAAAATATCCATAATATCCCGATATTTCCATCGAAATTTCCGTGTTTTTGGACTACCGATATTTCCGATATCATCGATATTTTAGACCTTGCTTGTAACCACTCGATGAATATATATACATATATATACATGCCTAATGTTTTAACTGTTTATCTTGTTTGTTCTCTTGCTGGATCCATGCTTCGGTGGATTTCACTTTTATGGTGTTTATATGTTCTGGTGTGTTCATCTTCTTTTCTTTCAGGCTTTTTTGGTGTTTGTTGGTTTGGCTTTCAGCTCCTACCCAATCTAACCTGTTTGTATTACGCGTTGCCGTTTCAGCTTTTTAATGAATGCTTAACCTCACGGACTTTGTTTGAAACTAGGGTACCCGGAAGTTGGCGCCTCTCTAGTTTTATGAAACGAGGACTGAGCCATTGAGGACAGAATCGCAACGTTGCCTTTCGTTCCTGGTACCGGTAAATGTGCAGACTGCTTTGAAATCATTTAACCTGGGAAAACATCTTGTGTGTTCTTGGAGTGCTTTTACGTTTTCAACATCCAAACAGCACTAGCTTGTAAGTAAAAAGTTTTATGTTCGAATCTTGTGAATGACGATTTCGATACCAAATTAGGATATCAAATGTGTGGATTAACCGAACTCCCCCTCCCCCCTAGGGTAAAAATATCGATGTACTCAAAATATAGTACTAGCTTGTAACATCCAAAAGTAGTTCCTCAAGCAAGTGATTGGGTTGGGGGAGGAGAATTTGGGGAAAAAAAAAGAAAAAAAGAACAATAACAACCACCACCACATTTCTAACCCAGAAAGAAATAGGTTGTCTTTCTGAGGAAGTAATTTATGCACTGTTCTAAAAATCCCCGCCTAGCGTTGTCTAGGAGATAGGCGGCTAGGTCACCGTCCTGATTAATGCTTAGACGTTTGAAAATTAAAAGCGCCTAGACCTGTTGAGGGGCTCGCCTAGCCCTCCTAGACCTGCCTAGGTTACGACTTACATAGACAGAAATAGATAAATTTCAATTTGCATATTATTTTTTTCAATAAATTGTAAGAGACTTGTTGAATATTTAAATGAACACACATTATATGTTTAATCCCCATATTTTCATTAGGGAAAATTAGGTTCACATCCTTCTTTTTGTTACTCCATTGATTAAAATCCTATTCATTTTCAATTTTTGATCAAGGTCCTTAGGTATTAATAACATCATTAATTATTTGAATAATAAAATATTTTTATTTTTAAATATATTCCTTTTGTGTTAAAAATATTACAATTAGTATATTTATATTTATGGCTAAATTTTTTATCATATATTTTTATTTTTAGTTTGTACCAATTTTTAATTTGCAAATATTTTTTAATTTGTACCAATTTTCTTTTCATTTTTAATTTGTACCCATATATTAGTTTCTTTTTGTGCCCATATTTTTTAAAGTTTTATTTGTGTTTGTACCCATGTGTATACCATCACGTGACATTGTATATTTAATCAATGATAGAAAAATTACATATGGTATATTTATGTTTTTTGCCTAAACTTTGTATCATATATTTATATTTTTAGTTTGTACCCACTTTTAATTTGCAACATTTTTTTTTTAATTTGTAGTATTTTCTTTTTAGTTTTATTTTGTACCCATTTATTAATTTCTTTTAGCACCTATATTTTTAAAAATTCATTTGTACTCATAATTTTTAATCTTTTATTTGTATCCTAATTTATTTATAATGTACCCATTTCTTCTTTATTAATGTACCACTTTGTTATATGTGAAATGTACCAATTTTTTTAACACTATGGATACATTCTTTTGCCATTTATTATTTCTTATTTTTACATAGTTTTTATCCATTTATTCAATTAAAATGTTTGAATTTTTTTATTATAACCATTTCTAATAGTATTAAAATGAGGGATTTAAATTTATAGGATTATAAATCTCATAAAATATCAAACAATTAATGTCAAAACTATAAGAATATAAATATTAATAGTAATATAATGAGGTGTACAAAGTCAAGGGACCTTGATCAAACTTTGAATACTATTAAGGTTTTAATCAAAGAATGTTAAGAATTAGGGACCGCAATCAAATTATCCCTTTTCATTATGTTCCAATACTTCATAATATATAAGTCATTCTATTTTGTAGTTTATATATATATTAAGTATAAACATACACTTATTTACACGAAATATAATAAATTTATTTAAATCCACCTAGTTCGCCTAGGCCCTGCCTAACCGTCTAGGCCTTGCCTAGCCACCTAAGCGTTGTGCTCTAGCTGCTGCCCGACTAGTGCCTAGCGTCTTTTAGAACCTTGAATTTATGTGTACACCAACTGCACATGGAAGGGGGAAACAAGGTGAGAAAAACCTTAGGGATTCCGCGTTTTCCGTATTTTCGATATTTTTTGGTTATCCACGCAGAGCTTCAACTAAGTTTGGTTATTGTTGATTATCACCTTTTTTTTTCTATTCACTAAACTCATAATCCAATTATGCCTAAAAATATTTAGCAATCAGTATTACAGTTCAAGTAGTATTTTTTTTTACTTATAACTAAGAGATTTTATGTTCGGCTCACATGAATGGCGAATACATATTATATTTATGTTAAGTTCGATATCTAATCAGTGATTGGCCTATTGTGGTCTTATCCAATTCCCCTACTCTTAGAATAGTATATCAATTATTAAAAATGATTGTGCTTTTAAACTAAAAAAATAAATAAAGAGACCACGTACGTTGTTATAGCTAACTTTTTTTTTTAAAGGAGTACGATATTTATTGAAGATTGAAATACATACAAACTAAAGATAGGGTGCTTACAATGGGCCTCAATAAAAACCTTGTCGGGGCTTTCAACCTGAACGAAGGGAAAAAGAGCGTCCTGCACCAAATTAACTACTAGTACTATCCTCTAATAATAAATTAGAAATTACATCAGGAGGTTCTTCAAACCAAAAAACTAGGTGATCAACAATGAGACTAAACCGTACAAGGCGGTGGGCCACCTATTCTGTTGGATGTATGTCAACAATCTGTGATAAATTTATATATGCTAATAAATAATAAATGTGAACAACTAATTAACAGTGTATGAACAATGAAATAATATTAAACAGAAATATTGAAGATCAAGGCTTGTGTACCACAATGTCTTTGAAACAGAAATTTTGTCTCTACTCAGTGCTTGTAGTTCTATGGACATCTGCTTCACCAGGATTCAACGATCAAGTTAGAATTCCAACATCGGAAAACTGACTCCTGGCGAATTTATGTGTGATTCTCTCAGTAAGAAGGTTTAGGAATGTAGAAGAAGAATTTGATATTTTCTTTGTTTTAAATGTCATGCAGATGGATGTATATATAGTGGGATTATGCATGTTCGCAATAGGTATGAGAATGAGATGTGATTGTTGGGAGACATCTCTTCATAAGGGTGTTGTGCTCTCTGCGTTTTTTCATTGACTTAGACTTCAAACTTCATCTAAAAAGATGAGTTTGTAAATTTGAAATTAATTAAAGAATTTAATTTTCAGCTAATTAGTACACCCTAAGGCCCATCTTTTGATAATTAATATATATTAATTATTAATTAATTATCAACTAATTAGTATACCCCAAAGCCCAACTTCACGGGTGAGCCCAATTTCATTCTCAGTAGTCCATTACTTCAATCACTATTTATAAGAGACAAAACCTTATAAAGTGAGAAAATCTTTTAAGAATAGTCAATGTGGGACAATGAAATTTCTACTCAAAATTTCAAACATATTCGTCTCTCGTCGTCCAAAGGTGATTTTTCATTGCTTGAAATCCTACAAAAGCCGCCTAGTATCATCAAATATATGTCCATAGTGCCCATGAATTTTTGCTCCTGCATTTTGAATTGCAGAAGTGACCAACAATGCATCCCCTTCCACATGGACTTGCTACGTGATCTACCCAAAGAAAACCTACGAGAGGTTCATATCATAATATTACCAGAGCTAGGGTGAGTTTCTTCTTTTCTTTTATGCCTTTATGCCATTACTAGATCTGAAAATTTCGTTATTGCATTTATTTATCTATCATTTTCTTATATTTATGCTTTTGGGTGGTTTGATTTCAAGGTGGATTTGTATTATCACTCTTTCAGAATCTGGAAGGTCGGTCTCCCTTTCTCAAATAGTGTTGTGATTTATTGGAACCATATGTATGTGTGTGTGTTTGCACCTAAAATGTGCATCATTTCACTTATTTAGGCCATTTGAGTAAAATATTGCATTTGGAGGATTAATATGCAAAAAAACTAACTTGGAAGATATTTAGCTATCAAGTGGGATAGTTTGGCATTAAAATAATAATTTTCCCTTTTTATGTGGGTGGTGGAGGTTTGCCAAGAACTTTGTTTAATCAAAACAAATGTTTGCTTTTGGATTGGAATATAACATGCAGACATGGAATTGAACATATGGATGAAACAAGTCACCTTGCTTCTTTTAAATGTTAGTTTATTGCAAATGGTGGAGACATGTGGTGAAAGCATGTGGTGGAGATACAAACTTGCTTATTTTAATATTATTTCACTATGCAAGCTGCAAAGGAGTTTCTTTGGGCAAGTTCAATATGCTCAACAATGGCTCTTTTAGATCTCTATATAAAGAAGTAGATGCAGAAAGATTATAGACACTCAAACAATCAATCAATCAACTCTACTCAAATCAGCTCATCAGCTTCTTTGTAGACATTTAGCTTTAGCTAAGCATCCTTTGTTTTCCTTGTTTATTAGCTCTGCTACTCACCCAGTAGTATTGATCTCATTTGTAGTTTTTATGTACAATTCATTTCCAGTCATTCAATTTGCAAGCAATCTGCAATAGTAGTCATTCACTTTCCTCTGTCATTTACATTTCCAGCAACCTTGTCATTTACATATTATTCCATCTCTCCATATAAGTAAAGTCCTTATCTTTAAGGCCAACAAAGAACCTTGATTTGAGACACTCCCACTCAATGACACAATCTCTTGGTTTGAAGTCAAACGCAGGAGAAACCTCAATCATTCAAAACCCGTCTACTAGCAGCATCTAGTAGTGGCACGCCCACACCCACCAATTTCATGTTTGAGTAAATTCTCAGCATGCCCGCGAGGCCAT